CTCTCGTTTAGACTTAGTCAACTAGTTTTGAATTTATGTTTAATATTATTATTTTAACAGACCGAGATAAGAAAATTCGTTAAAAATTCATAACTTCTTCATCCGAAGTCCGTTTTCGTCTGTCTTTTTACCGTTGTACTAGTATTAACGAGAGATTCGATTCTCGTTTAGGTCGTGTCAGCTACAAGTCATCCGATCTTTATTTCGAATATTTGGGTTGTGTACTGTTATATCTAATCTTAGAAAAATCATAACTTCTTCATATGAAGTCAGATTTTGGCTTTCTTTTTATAGACATTCTCAGGTGAACGTATTCTACGACTTTTATTTGAATAGTTAAGGCTAAAAAGTATTTTATTGAAAAACTTTATTTTTACACTTACAATGTTTTGCTGGTTTTGTCGCGGATCTTCGATTGATCATAACTTTTTCGTTAGAACTCGGATTTGGGGGTTCTTTATATTTTTGGAATCCTTGTTAAAATATCTATCACTTGGTTCATCCCAAATGAGTTTATTTAATACTTCATTTTTTTACCTTATTTTTTATTTCAATAAATTTCTATTTTTATTATTTCAACATAAATTACAATAGTTAACCTAGACTATTACATTGTGAATTTATAATTATCTAGGTAGAGTTTAGACTCTAATAACTATAGAATTTCTCCAGTTATGACAATTGAAAACTCCTAGATCTTTTGAGATTCATTGAAATTTTCAATGGCATGTTTAAATCTCAATATGTCCCTCGAGTTTGTGACTGGGATGCCGAGGATCACAAAACAGAGTGTGAATAACCATGCAAATGTAAATAGTGCCCATAATGTTACAGTTACCTAATCGACGGGCCGATTAACCACACACGCTCCATCGATCTATGACAAACATCGAGTCACCCTTTGCTACCTTTGCTTATAACCCAATTAGTGTGCCGGTTAACCACACACACTCCACTAACATCTTAGCAAGGGTACAAAGTGTAATTTTATGGAACACACAAAATTCACTTTTGCCTAAAGTAACTAAGATTGGGAATTTTGTAAAAACATTTGGTTACTTTATAATTTATTATACTTTTAATGAGGAGAGGGTTGCCCTATCCTACCCGTTCGGCTAACGACCCTCCACGATTTTGTAAAAGCAGTGGGTGAGAGTGGACACCCATTAAACGACCATTTTATATGCCATAACCTTATACCCCCTTATAGATCGACTTCTTGAATAAGACCTACTAACGGTAAGACTAGCAGTTTAAGTTATACATATATAATAATTATTCTTATAATATTTTAATAGTATAGGGTGAATTTTAAACTTGTAAAATTTTAGGGTTTGGAATTTAATAATTTCAAAATTAAACTTTTAATCCAAATAATTAAATTCCAAAATTTGAGGACAAGTTTTGAAATATTTCAAAGCTATCTAGATCAAAATCAAATAAATAATTAATCAATTAATTATGGTGATTATCTAATTTTGACCTAATCCAATTTCATGCAAGATAATGATCAAATAATCCAAATAATTAACATTTATCTTATAAGGAAGTAATTATTCAATTAATTTGAAATTATCTTTTATTTTGGCTAGGATAATGATACAATATCAATAAAATTCGTATTTTATCAATTAAAAACGATATGGAAATTATCCCACAACAAAATAGGCATAATATCCCAAAAATCCTTCTATCTGATAGTTCGACTCGCCGAGTTCATCCTACTCGTCAAACCCACATTGAGACTCGACGAGTCCGTCAGTCAGATGGCCAAAAAATGATTTTTTCAAGCATGAATGAAACAAAAAGCATCAAATACAATAGAAACCAACCTGACTTTGATACCACTAATGGGTTTTATACAAAAGAACATTCCTATGTGCTCATACAAAACCCTAAAGCTTGGATCTAGGTTTCACTATTGTACATGTAATTCATCCAAGACTCTGAAACCCTAATCTAGCATACATAGAAATCAAAATCTATATTAAACTAGCGTCACAAGTGTAACACCTCTAATGGATCACAAACACCACAATCAAGAGAATGATGTAGAGGAGAGAGGATGAGAGGCAAAAATCGGCTCTAGGGTTCCAAGGGATCAAGTGGCCGATTTTCTAATCCTTAGGGGTCTTTAAATACTTGAGCTTCAAGGGTTTCAGTCAAAACCCTAATAGGATGACTTAGGCACAAAGTAACTTTAAGAAACTTCTAGAATAAGGCCTCTATGGCCGAAATTAAGATGGACTCCTCTTAATTTCGTCCATGCCTCTAATCCATAAGGATTCTCAGCCTATATTCAACTATCACACAATTGACAGTTCTAGTCCCCTTTATTTAATTAATGTATTTTAGCTACATAGTTAATTCTTGTTTAATATTAATTAAACTATATGATTTCTCCTTTAATCTATTATTCATATAATATATTAATAAACCACAATAACCTCTCTCTTCATAAATCATCCTATCAAGTTGCTTAGGTGAAGGCAACCCAAAAGGACCATGTACAACCGGGTCAAATACATATCAAATATAGTTACGGGCTTAGAAATTAATCCAACAAAAACATCCCTTAATGTCATTAAACTTTAACATTAATGGATTAGTTTAAGTAATAAAGATATAAGAAAGTGCATCAATATATTTTTTTAGGGTTGAGCATGGTACCAAACCAATACCGATCATTAAAACCCGAGTACTTTTATCGATATCAAGTACCTAACCGAACTAAAGTTAATGGTATCAATTTTCGGTATTAGTATTGGAGTCCATCGTACCAAATTTTATGATTTTAAAGTACCGAATACCATCTCATATTAACATAAATGGTGTTGATTAGTTTCGAATACCATCTCATATTAACATAAATGATGTTGATTAGTTTGGTACCGACGAAGATTTTGCTCACACTTAATTTCTTTATTTATGTTTGTTGCTTTTAGTGCCTCCACCTTTTTTATTTATATTGTATTCCCGGGGTATCTTATTCAAAATATTCATAATCATAATATTTATTTATTTATTTATTTTGTAATATATATTTGGGAAGATCTTTCTAATGGTCATGTCAATGAAATTATCCTAATAAGATATTTTGCAAAATTTCCTAAGTTACCGATGCATTCATGTAGTTTTTCTAAAAAAATCATGTCTATAATTTCTCATTATTTGACTTGGATTCCATAGTCTTGGTTGTTTTCATTCATGACAACGGCATGTACCATGCTACCAAAGTAGTCCTTTAAGTGGGCATCATCTATTATAATCATTGGTAGTACACATTCACAAATTAAACAAATATGCAAATGATTTATGTTACAACGATAGATTTTAATGTAGAAATAATTGTTAATTAAAATGAAGTTTAATGTGTAACCAATGGTGACAAAAGGTACTTAAATCATCATCGTTTCACCTTCGTATGTGTGAGATTTGCAAGATTTGCCTTTTAAATCACAAGAATAGACTAGAATATTGACAAATGAATCTAATGGGATTCCCTTCAAAAGGTATAGTAAATAACACTTTGGTCGTCAAGTTTCAAGCTTGAGGGTGGAAATATCAACTTTTGAATTGAGAACTTAAAATTTAGACAATTTTCTTTCCCCCAATATATATTATGTCATTTATATCGGATATTATCTCCTTCAACAATTAGCTTGGAGAAGATTTGGATGCAATTAGAGTCTTAAACACGTGTTCATTCCGAACTTAAAAAATATCAAATTTTAGAATCAGGGTAGTTCCAATCTACAATTTATAGTTTTCAACAATACATATTATGTCAAACTCGTTTTTCATTTTTATCTCGAAACCCTCTTCATCACACTTAATTCCCAAGTATAGTTTAATAACTTCTTCGATTTAAACATTGATAGGTCTTTGGGATGGCTTATGTCATAATCATGTGCAGATATAAACAAGGTAATATTAGAGATATTAGAGGATGGAGTAGTTGGACGATGATGAGGGTCTCTAAATTTTCAAGGCTGTTTTTATGTATCTACTTATATTATTTTAGAAATAAAAAAGTTTTTGGTATTAAATTTTCGGGGCCTCAAATCAGCTTGGATCGGTTCCAAATATAAAACTGATTTTTTGGTAATGAACTGAAATATAAGCATACCCTATAAAGAAGTTCTTCTTCCAACAATACGATCTTTATCCCCACACCAACCATGCCCATAATTACCTCTATCAAGGTTAGATCTACAGACACAACGTTTGAATAGCTTTCCCAAGAGGAAATAGATTCAACTCATTAACAAAGTGTTAGTATTTCATGGAGAAACACATTAGATACCTTGACATAACAATTTTTCACCTAACCGATATCCATTTTATTGGTATCCACCAGCTCATCGATGTTAGATGTCTAGTAACAGACATACACAAACCATAATTCATCACCTTTGGCGTCATGTATTGTGATTAAAGCCATTGATTGTCCTATACATTATGAGTCAAAAAACTTGTTGAAGACTACTAAAATTACACGAGTTTTCTAGAAATATACCTAATTTCATAGCAAAGCTAAATTCTGAATGCTCTTACATTATTATTATTATTATTATTATTATTTTATTTTATTTATGTCGCACTGGTCTCACTCTCACCTTAAAACAGGTGGTAAATTTTAACTACTTTCCGAATAATGGTCATTTTTTAAAATTCATACCTTTTTTTTTTTTTGTCATTTTGTGTTACTCTTTTTATTAATAAAAACAATTTAAACATGTTACAGGTTTTTTAGTATATTTTCAACGTTTTGACCAGTTTGACAAAAGTAACTTTATATTCTAATTAAAGTTTTTAAATGCATCTATATGGCTGTTAAAATTAAATGTAATAGAAATTAATATATTACTAAGCTATTAATATTTTCAATAAATTAATTATCTAATTTGGTTTTGCTTTTTGACTTGCATCAGCCCCACGCACTTAAATTAAAAGTTAAAACAAATCAGATTGTAGCTTTATGCAGCAAATTTACGTATGTGTGAACCTGTAACTTTATAAAGATAATGTCATAATATTAGACAGAAGAAAGAAGGAGAAGAAGATGAGGAAGGAGTAAATATATATAGATGATGCTCATGCCACTCTGCTCCTGCTCCACAACTACACCACCATTTTCAGCTGCAGTTGCTGCAGTCAAATTTCAGGACCCACCTCCTTCATTTACTACCCGACGAATCAACCGATCCGGATCCTTCTCCTCTTCCTCCTTCATTACAACAATATCATTCAATTCACCCATAACAAACACACACTCTCTCTCTCTCTCCCTCACACGCACAAAGATCTATCTTTCTATAATCTGTATGCTATGCGTGTCAATCTATTTGTTTACAGATCAGATGATGGATGTTTCTGTATCTGTATAGAATAAGAAACGAGTGATTTTCAGCTCACTTCCATGGCTGCCGCCTTCTGTTCTTCTGCTTCTTCCTCCTCCATTTCTGCATCGCTCTCTCCTCATCCTCATCCCCCTTTCACCCCTGTAAGTACTCTTCTCTCAACTAAGTTTATATGCTGATTTTGTTTCCTTTACTCTCCGGGTTCTACAAATTTGACACTAAGTTTTCGTGATTCTGCAAATTCAGGTTTTTCCGGGAGGTTAGATTTGTGAGAAATTTTTTTTGTGTATTTTGAAGGGTTTTATTTTTTTTTGCAGATTCAGGAATGTGAAAGAGAAGGAAAGGAAGATGATGAGTCTTGTGAACAAAACAGTGTAAAAGCTACGCCGAGTGATTGTTCAGAGAACAACAAAGAATCGTATTACGTCCATCAACCAACGCCTCTCCACCACCAAAACTCCAAGACCGCTGCCAAATCCTCCAAAAAGAGATCGGAATCATGCGACCGGGGAAAGAAATCCGATGACCGAGGGGTGTCGTGCAACAAATGCCGACCAAGTGCTCGAGAAAAGTTCTCAGTGGTTCCACTCGATACCACCACCGTCGGTCGTCACTCCAACGCTAGCCCCAACGGATTACTTAAATCGATATTCTCATCTCTCGTGAGAAAAAGCCCGAGATCTGCGTCGTCATCGTCGGAGGGGTTTACTCCGGTGTCGGGAAAAGAAGAGCAATGGAAAGGCGCCGTGGCTGAACTCTCTCATAAACTCATTCAAGCCACGAAGAAACGCGACGAAGCCATCCTAGAAGCTTCTCGGTTAAAATTCTCCATGACTGAACTCGAAAAAAAGCTCAACAAACTGGAAATCTACTGCCATACTCTCAAATCAGGACTCGATGATTGCGCAAACAAATCAACCACCACGAAACACGAGCCAATCAAGATCGGCGATCACGACAGAGTGATCGAACATTTTCTGGTAGCGGTGTCGGAATCTCGGTCATCAATGAGACATCTCAGCCGATCATTAACCGTACAACTCCCACAAATCGCCGGAGGGAAACTCTACGACCGTATACAACTACTTCTCCAACCGTACGACATCAAGATTTCTGCATCAACAAACCCTAGGATCCTTCTTCTGTACCTGGAAGCTCTGTTAAACCGAGCATTCTTTGAAGATTTCGAATCACCCGGGTTTCAAAAATCCGGATCCAATCATACCCTCAACCCGATCCACAGATGTGAAGAAAATTTCAAATCTTTTATCCGTTTAAAGGAGTTAACTTGGGAAGAAGTATTAAACAAAGGGACTAAACAATTTAGTGAAGACTTTAGTAAATTTTGTGACCGAAAAATGAGTGAAGTTGTAGCCATGTTGGGGTGGACCCGAGCTTGGCCAGAACCGCTTTTGCAAGCCTTTTTTGGCGCGTCAAAAGCAGTCTGGCTGGTTCACCTCCTGGCCAACTCAGTTCACCCTGGTCTACCCATATTCAGGGTGGACAAAGGGGTGCGGTTTGATTCGATTTACATGGAGGACATGGGTGCGGACAAGACCAAGAAGTTTACGGTCACGGGTCCTATGGTTCGAGTCATGGTCGAACCGGGGTTCTATATCTATGGGAATGTGGTTAAGTGCAAAGTCATATGCAGGTACCATAGTAATGGTTTTATAAATGTTTCCCCTAATGGTAATAACCCTTTATGATGGAATGGTTTGCCTTTTGAGGTCAACTAAAAAAATGTTTTTTTAATGTGACATAGTTGTGTTTTGAAAACTATTAGATTATGGGGTCAAAATGGAAAAGGTTTGTTGTTTGATGATGGGGTCTATAATCTATTTGGGTTTTATTAAAAGGTAGGGGGGAGAACGGAGAATAAATAAAGTGGTATGATTTAATGATGTTTTTTGTATCGGACAGTTTGACTTGGTTCATTTCGGTTGTCTTTTGTTTTGGCGTGACGTGTTCATTGGTTATAGAAAGATCCCATTTTCTTTATATCATACAAATGAAACATGATGACAAAAATTGTACGTACTTCATTCCAGGATCTTACTTTTCTTTATCATCAAACTAACATTTATTTTTTTGAAATTTTGTTTTGTAATAAATAAAGGTACAACATAGTGAAATGGTTAAAATCAGTTTGGGGGTTTCTTTAGATGAAAATTCAATCGTTTTTTTTTTTTGTCAATCAAGTTTTCTTATGTGTTTGAACTGTTGAAGATAAAGTATAATCTAAATCGGCTTATTTAATTGTGCAATTCTAGGCTTCTAGCTATAAACGTGTAATTTGTGGGAATGAAGAACAAAAACATGACATTTCAGTTCTGTAATTGTAAGCTTTATGTCATGCGAACTTACAAGATTTGGGTTTGGAGGATCTTTTTAAGATATCACATGCATGCTACAATTTACGAAATGCAATAAACATATCATTAAGATATTGTCCACTAATGACAATCGTATAAAATATGATCGCACTTTATATAAAAATCATTTAAAATATATTTATATTTTGCTACAAAATATTTTATTAATTTGTTAGTTAGATATGTCGTATTCTTTAACTGGTATTGATATGATAGTTTTTAAAGGATCTTTTTAGTCAAACTCCAAGAATCAAAACGCTAAAAGAATGTGTTTTTTCTTGGATTAATGTTGCATATATTGTGTCTTTTCTTGGATTAATGATTTAGTGTTGTATTTTGCCATCGGTTGTGGTGACAAGATCTTGAATTGGAATCTTGTAATTGGGAGTATTGGATAAGAAAAAGCGCTTAGAATATGTTGAGCTTCGATTTTTGTCCTAATCCTTGTACCATACATGATTGTACTTTTGTATGAATGTCTAAGCCTTTTGTTTTATTCATTGATATTTCCTGTGATTTATTTTTTTCATTTCAAAGTAAATACAATTAATATAAATATAGTGTGATATAAAAATATTTGAAATGCACTTTTAATTTTAATTTTTACAAAGAAGCAGTAGCATTAATCGGGTTGTAATACAACAAACCTAGTTATTTTTAACGTTAGTGCTCCTATGAAAAAACCAAAAGAAATATTGTGTTACAATTGTATCAAACAATGCAGATTATTTTGGTTTGATTCCTCAACAAATATTTGAGCTTCGAAAATTCCAAAGAACCCAAATAACCGTGAGAAAGAACCATGTTCAAGGTTTTTTTTTTTTTTTTAACCGCCGACATTGTCACGTGATTTATCCAATGCATCAAATATGGAAACGAAGTGAAAGTAGGGATATACATGTGTCACCACCGATAAATTTGGTTATGAATAGACAACGTCACAAGGCAAGAAAACAACAAGTGATCAACAATCTCCAACTTTAAACTGCAATAGGACATAGTATTGAATCCACGTCAATTCCTTGTTCATCCAAAAAACATTGTAGTAGGCACTTTGTTAAGCCGAAATATCCAGGCCAAGACATTCAACTTAATCTTAACAAAGTTGCCCTAACGAGTTGGATTATCACCTACTATCAATGTAGATTTATTAATAAAATTATATGTGCAAATGATAAATACATACTCAAAGACTCAAGCTCCTAAAGCCAATCATCTTTTTGATCAGAAAGAACCATCGAATGTGGTGCTTCTTCCAATTCAATGACACTTTCGCCACACCTCAAGAGGTGATTTGGAATTAACCGTGCTCATCTTATTATGATCTAATACAAAGACTCTAAGAAATCTCACATTCAATGGTAATTATTTTCTAAAATTTTAAGTGGGATTGTTTATTAAAAAAATTAAATAAATAAAATTAATGAATTTAGAAGTTTCAAACTTATTATAAGGTTTAATAGAAATTTTAAGTTGAGCGACTATACTTACCAAATTTAGAAAGCTTAAATTTGACCTTGACTCAACTAGGTTTGGATCCAAAATGTTAATGATTTAAATAAATGGGGTTAAAATAGTAAAATATTTTTTTTAATAGCTAAATTATATATATATATATATATATATATATATATATATATATATATATATATATATATACAACAACAACAACAACAACACTAGCAAGAAGCTTGCAAGAAAAAACAATAACAACACGTCTCATCCATTGAATCCAATAAATTTTACATTTACTACTCCTATTAGAGAACCAATTAAAAACATGAATAATGATACTTTAAAAAATTACTCTTACGCATTTTGAATGTTTGAAACACAACACTATTCCGATATTGCCACAACACCCAAGTAACCGTGATACAAATAACCTCTACCACATATTTCTTTTTCTTCTTTATTCTCAAGGAATCAATCGAAATAAACAACTCCAACACATCGTTAAACAACATGAATGGAAGATCCAACCACATAAAAACCTTACCCCAAATCTGATTAGCTATTTCAAACTTCATAAACACATGACTACAATCTTCACTTTGAAAAGAGCACAAAGGGCATAACATAGAATGAATATCAATGTCTCTCTTCACCAAATTTTCTCTAGTCAGGATCTTATCACGAAGGACTCGCCAAAGAAACACATTAAGCTTTATAGGAGGCAATCTACACCATCTAGTTTGGACAATATCTTCCTGCAAAACAATACAATCAATATGTTTTATGGTGTTGCTAACTTCAAAACTTCCATACGTGCCAATAATCCACTCCCATTTATCTGGACAATCCCTAAAAGTCACTTGATTCAATAATTCCATAAGATCTGCCAATTAAGAAGTTGTACCTCCGCCTTCACAAAAGGACGATGCCAACAAAAAGTCCACCTCCCGGCAACCCATTTATCTGCGACACAACATTCATTATTCAAATCCAAGTCATAAGTCCTAGGAAACCTCACCGCCAACGTATCTTCCCCCAACCATAAATCATTCCAAAACTGTGTGGTACCCCCATTACCAATACGTTTTCAAAGGAAAGAAAAGGGAATAACATGCATATCATTCACTTTATTAAATAAACGAACAATATAAGCCAACACTCCACCACCTTTCGGTTTAATAGAGTTTGAACCCATTCCACCATGCACTTTATGTTAGATGTTATGTTGCGGCCAACTTAGGGTTACATGTTAAAAATATGAACTTAGGGACTAATTTTGTCAAGCGTGTAAACATTCAAACGTAAATTCACAATTCCCTCATTTCTCTGTCATTGAAACGACCTATATCGAAAGAAAAGTGAAAGAGATTGGTTTTCAAATATGGTGAAGTAAATGGAAAGTGCTTGAGCCTTGAAGTTAATTTGAAGATATGAAGCTAATTTCTCAAAGAATTTTTAAAGTTAGGTTGCTTATTTAAACCCATATTTCCATTCATATTATTAACTTTGAAAAAAACCTACATGAATCTAAAACCTATGGATTATTTGTTTAAGAATGAATTTTTGGTGTTAGATTTATGGTTAGATTGAATAACTAGCCTCAATGTGTCATTCTTAGGCTTAATAATCAATTCTAGTTGAGTTTGGTGGATTTTTAATCCTAGAAATGGAGAAAATAATTTTTGAGGTTTAGTAAACTGATTTAATGTTTGACTTTGTTTATGCCACTCCAGAAGTTTTAGGTTGTTCATTTTGATGTTTTGAGGTCCCTTGTTCGTAAAGTTTGCATCTTGATGGTTGTGGACCAACCATGCATAAGTTATTGACTTTTTGGTGAAGCTACTAGACTATATTTGGGTTTTGGGTTTCTTGGAGCCATGCAAAGGCATCAAGTAGATGACTTTATTGATTAAGACACCCATTAGAATTAGATCTGAGCCTTAGATGTAAAGTCTTAAAAGGATTAAGCACTTTTAATTGAGTCCTTTGTGACATCCCTAATTTCACGGCCAGAAAAGACCAATTTAGTTTATGCTTTTAAAATAAAATCAGAGTAGTCTTCCAAAAGATGTTGTGGAATTTGTCCCCAAAACAAAATATGATAAAAAAATAAATTATCAAAGCATTCCTTAAAGAAATGTATTTTCATTATATAACAAAACCTCGGGATGTCATGTTCTAATACAGACCAAAAGCATAAACAATATATTATATGTCTTACAACAGTTATTTACAATTATTGGCATATAATCCAAAAATCACTCGTCATCATCCAACTATGTTCGGGGTTCACTACCTGTAATACAGAAAGCTGACTGGGTTAGGCTTGGGAGCCTGGTGAGCATATAGGGTTTTCAACCTACAAATAATAATAATTTTATTAATTTCATCGACCAACAATAAATTTATTAATTTCATCAACCAACAATAACCCTGATTACCTGTTCCAGTTATCCTCACTTTACGTCCCTAAACACCTATCATAAGGGATCATCATCGGGATGGACACTACGGCTAAGGGGATTCCTCAGCCATATATGTCCTTAAGGCAACCATGAGGGAGATGGAGTACACCAGCGAACAAATAGTTCACCAACACCTACAGGTTGCGAGCCTGCTGGCATTCCATTATACTGTCTAGAAAGTTCTGTGGTCGTCATCTATACACCGCTAGATGACTACCACAACATCGAGGCCTCTCGTCATTTTAACACACATCAACTATTTCATCTACTCATGTTTTACCCACATATTTGTAGATAAAAATACATATACAGTTTAAAACTTGTATAAAACATCTATTCAACACCCATTTTAAATAAACAAACAATATAATTATACATAGCACGTATTTTATAGAAAATACTACATATCTATGTGTAAGATGAAAAATGACTACACACTCACTTGATTTAACTATAATTGGGCAGCGATTCATTTCTTAAAACGATTGTTTCCAATGAAACCGGGATCTTCAATGAGAACCGGGTCTTGCGATGGCTGAGCTTCAAACCGAAAAGATATATTTCTCAGGGTCTTCGGACACTTGGGGACGTTCTTCGGGTGTTAGGTATGATCCTAGGGCTTCGGGGGTTTTAAAATAGCTTAAAAGAGGGTGTAAGGTGTAAAAAGTGTGAAATTTCCAACCAAAACCAGGAAGGTTCGCACCTCCCTTTATATAGAGATTCATTCCAAGTGCTGCTACTTATTTCTTCCTAGCGATACCTTACTTGCATTGGTAACTTTTCTTTGTTTATTGCTTAGTAGAACACTTGCATTGATAATATATTTGGTCATGTCAAACCTAACAAGATCTCCTATTTTCCGAGGGTAGGGCAGGCTATATATCATAGGGGAATCAAAAATACCTGCTCGGTGTCACGGTCTGTGTTACCATAGCTAACAAGATCTGCCATTCCATGTGACAGATTCATCGCCCCACCACCAGACGTCATAGTAATCTCC